CTAGACGAAGAACAAAGGCTCCTCAAGATAATAGGAAATAATATACTAGACTCCAAATCCAGGCGTCAGAAGGTTTATAAAGTGAAACATGAGTGACCGTCCAGTTTGGTATACTTTATATACCTGGATAAACTGCACGTGATTCGTACCGTTTCCTTCGTTTGTATGTAGTACAGCATACACCCATTGTAAATACAAATATTACACTGCATTATGTTGCTACCACCAAGTTTCTTGGGAATTCTAACGCTTATTGTTTTGCTTCCATACTTTGATTGTAAATTGTGTAATGAGAACCCTCCTACATCCTATTTGTGTACGTTTCAAAATGGATCGAAAATTGACCTCACTTCGCTAGGACTGAAAGACAATAATCCAGGGTAAGCCGGCAAACAGCCTAAGAAAAAAGACAGCCTACAGTATGGCATGTCAATAAGTCATACATCTTTACTATTTGACTATGTACTGTATTTCTTTATTGATTATTAAAGCGTCCAGCTCATATTGCATTTATTATGCAGTATGACTTTCAATTGGCAGTGGCGTAAACGGGTATTGAAATAATGGGGCCCGGAGTGCGTAAAATCTTATTTTTAGGCCCTTGCGTATCAATACTGTACCATATTACTGTATTAGAAAATAGAACAAGCTTCTCTATGAGTAGACAATGTCCATAAATATTGTATGACTATTCAACAATAATCAACTAATATTTTGCACACACATTTTTAAATTATTTTTATTGGAATATTTGCGTGCATCTATGGTGCAACCAAATAACAACTCCCTGGTGCAACGTATAAATTAAATAATAAATTGCATTTATTAAACAATTATTCAGTTCAAGACATAATTTTTATTACAGTATAATTCATCTCTTTTTATCAATATCAAACTATTATTGTTTAACTGTCAGTTTACCTTTATTGTATGCATGCAGGTTTAGTTTCAAGGAAGATAGTTCAACAATATTTACGTACAATCCTCGTTACAACTTCACCATCGATAGTGTCTGTAAAGATGCTGCAGTAAGTGTTTTTATTCAGAACCTTATCATCTTCCAAAAAAAAAAATGTCCATTGTAGTATGTGAATGGTAAATAATGTGTATCATATAATGTGCAATGTTTGTGTTTTTTCAATAAAAAAATTTTAGCAAAACCTCCTTCATTTTTTCAGACTACTCCCATTAAAATTTTGGACTAAATTTTTGAAACTAGGCATGTCAGTCAGTGACCAACATTGATAAGACTGTCTCCAACTACCTGCTTGCTACACAAGAGGTTGATTCATGGAGTGAATGTACAACCATCAGGTCTAATGAAACAGCAACTTGTATTAATTTTAAGGAAGTTACAAAAACAACAGCCAGGTGAGAATCATTTACATTATTAGATGCTTTAGCCTATGATTGCCTAAATAAAACTATAATTGAAGTACAGTTTAGTAAAGTGTTATTTGTAATGATAGTGATGAGGAAGAAGAAAAGATTTTAAAATACAGTAATCATAACAAAATGTTACTATAAACTTAAGGTTTGTTAAAATACTAAAAATGTCCTTTAGGTTGTCATTGGAATTTCGATTTAGTTCTACACTGTTAGATTTAGTTCCGTTCAAATTTTTTGTTCACACCCACTACCACCAAGGCCAAAAGCAGTCTATGCCACTGTGTGTTCTGTAAAGCATATAATTTAAAGTACAACAGTAGTAATATTACTGTTAATCTTATTTTTTAAGTAGTTATCAAATATACAAAAAATAATGTTAATGATTATAAATTATTTTTTTTATCTGTTTTTAGCATTTTTCACATTTTTTTTTTCAATAATATATTGTAACAAAATTAGCATTTTTCAGATTTTTAATGTTATCTTTCAGGAAAGCAATTATAGCACTTGTTTGTGATTTGAAAGGAGATGAGAGTGAATTTAAATTTGAAACAGAAGAACCAATGCTTAATTATGTGAGTTACTTTTGTAATAATCATGCAGCTACAAAGACTAGCAAATTTCATTACAAAAATCTAATGTATATCAAACAAAACTAATGAGGCCTTTTTTTTAGTTCCAACTGTGCATGTCAGTGTCAAAGGTGAGTAATGAGTATGTCAAATGTTAATGTATAATACGCAATTGAACTATAATAGGGTTTAGCTTTACTATTTATATTTTAAAAATTATACTTTATATATTCTATCTTTATAATATTATAAATATAGAAATAGTGTAAATATGCTCTCTTCTTGTAGTTGTGTATTATACAGTACCATTCATCAACAAATGGAAGATTAACCACAATTAATCACTCTAATTTCAAATACTCTTAAAAATATAAGGAATATTTCCATAAAGCTTTTTTTCTTTTTTCTGCACAGCATATGAGTTTAAAGTCTAAGTACGCATGCCCGATTACTAGTGGATTCAGGTTTGTACGAATTCTCGCTATCATGTGAGTATATGTCATCATACCCAAATATGGGCGTATCACACAAATTTGTCACATACACCAGTGTGAACAGAGCTATGCCAGAAACACGGGGAGGGGCTGAAGACGTGACAAGTAGGACACTATTACAAGAGACTTGTATGGAAGGGGAGGGTATGGAAGAGGATTTATAACTATTGAATAATGAATGGTTTTCTTAATATTGTTGCTAATACCTGATGACCTTAACATTATATTTCTTTTTTCTTTTCAGAGAGACCAAAGTGTAAACAAAGTCCTACATAATAGTACAGATATTCATATAAATTTATTTTACACGCATTAAAACCTAAGATGATAATATAACATATGTATTGTAGATCGTGGTCATATTAGATAGTAATTGTTTTAACGAAAGTGAAATTTTTATTTGGATATGTAACAGGGGTGTTTGTGGAATATTTATTTGTATGTACAGAAGTATTATTTATTAATTAATTTGTAGAGATTTTATAAGCATATAAGTGCTATTATGTATTCATTGTTGTGTTACGTACATCCATCTGTTTTTTGTCGTAAATCTCTTGTATATTCCGAAATAGCATCGTCAACATGAATTCTATTTCTGTAGAGCTGTTTAAATCAATTTAATTTACTAATTCCGGGTTTGAAATTGACTTAGGCTACATTCAGACGAAAGGTACTGTGTACACCAAGGAATGCAGGTGTATCTAATTACGCCATTAAGATTTTTTTAAAACTGCCTTACTTTACTTTGGGTCAATTTACGATAAATTGTGTCTAGGATCTGGTTGCTCAGTGATTGCTTGGATTCTGAATGTCCAGATATGTTACGCCTGGCGTACAGGTAACTTTACAATGCTCTCATGCTTGCATGCTGCTCCTGGCATAACACTATGCCTGCTGTAATTTTACGTTTGGTGTAAGTGTACACCTGATATTATGACCAGTGGTGGCTCGGTTCATGGATCACAAAGCTGTTTCACAGGGGTTCTGAAAAGGGTCTTAAATTTACGTTTACGATGGAGAAATAACATATCTCCATGAAAGCACAGCTTAAAAGGTCTAAAATACAAAGCCTTCTTAGGGAATCCAAAGGCGAATTCGGCGCAGAGAAATTTTTGGCCATTTTTAGTCTGTACTTGTGCATATATCCACCAGGCTGTACTCAACTAGGGGAAGGTCTTGACCTGTCCAACAGGTTGCTAAATTGAAGTCGCCGCCCATGTTGGTGCTGCCATCATTTGTTAAAACTGTAAATTAATGTGGCCTTTCTGTTAAGTCTCAAAACAATACTTACTATGTGTTGTATAAAATGCAGTATGAACATGAAATGTTCTAACAAATGTTTTTATTTATTTATTTTTTTTTTTTTTTGGGATTATAATTTTAATAAAATAGATATTGAGATACTATTGTCATTTTATCGTACTGTACCTAGTTTCCAGTATAGCTATACTATACTGGTGTTAGTAATGATGATGATGATGAGACTGATGAGAAGGAGGAGGATGACGATGTTGATGATGGTAATGATGATGGGGACAACGATTATTGTGGCGATGATGATGATGATATTTATGATAGTGCAGTACTGTAATACAAAAACATAAAAACAAATACAGTATAGTAATGACCC